TGTCTTACACTTTCGCTCATTGTTCATCAGAATTGTCCTTTAGCTTTATTATTCTTGCTTTACTGTTCTTGATTCACCTCGAGGTCACTTCGGCTCGAGGTCGAGACTGGCCTACATTCTGGTCTGGTTTTACTTATTTCTTTCATTTATACTTCAGATTTCTTAGTTACTAATTAGTATTGAACTAAATCTAGTATTGAACTAAATCACGTATCTTTAAAACCATAAATCAAGTTTAATTGTTACTCGTATTTTCGAGGTAAAAAGTTTGGCGCCCACCGTGGGGCAAAAGATAATAGTGATATTTCAGTACTGATTCTGATAACACACGTTATTTTCACACTTTTTCTTGTCAAGAATTCTTGCTTTCAAGTTAAAATATGTCAAACTCGCAAAATGCACCCGTACACGGTGATGAGGGTCTTGGATTTCATGGGGAAAACAACAATTTAGGGGTCGGTGTACCACCGATTAACCATGTGAAAGTGTCAAATGGGGAACCAGTCGATGTTAGTTTGCCTATTGCTTTGGATGTAGATTTAGGCGCGGGCCCCGGAGGAAGTGTACGTAGGGAAGCCCGATCTGGTGGCCAAGGAACACAAGGTCTAGGAGACGGGGGAGTCATCCTCCAAGTAATATTCGAGATGCTACAAGCTCAACAGGTTGCTATCGCTCAGCTTCAGAGTCAGCACAAAACTCCAAGTATAGTCGAACCAGAAAACACTCGACGTACTGAGCCGATACCGGAAAGATCAAACAGTAATGGCTCGGGGACTGATCCCACAATTGTGAGGATGCTCGAGGAACTCACCAAGAGAATCGAGTCCGGGGAGAAGAAGATTGAGGATAATGACAAGAAAGTTGAGACTTATAACTCCCGTGTTGATCAAATACNGTTTGCTATGTTAGCAGACGCCTTCGTGAAAGCGCATGCCGGAGGCATAAAGGTGGCGACGAGGAAATCAAACATTTGTAAGATAAGACAAAGTAACGATGAGATGTTAAGGGAGTTCATGTCCGGTTTCAGATGGAGCGAATGGAATTACCACCGGTCTCGGATGACTGGGCGGTGAAATCAGGTGCCCCCGATTTTGTGGGCTCGAAGGCTCATGTCGAGGAACAGTGTACGTAGGGAAGCTCGATCTGGTGGCCAAGGAACACAAGGTCCAGGAGACGGGGGAGTCAGCATCCAAGTAATATTCGAGATGCTACAAGCTCAACAGGTTGCTATCGCTCAGCTTTAGAGTCAGCACAAAACTCCAAGTATAGTCGAACCTGAAAACACTCGACGTACTAAGCCGATACTGGAAAGATCAAACAGTAATGGCTCGGGGACTGATCCTACAATTGTGAGGATGCTCGAGGAACTCACCAAGAGAATCGAGTCCGGGGAGAAGAAGATTGAGGATAATGAAAAGAAAGTTGAGACTTATAACTCCCGTCCGGGGGCACCCCCGATCTTAAAAGGTTTAGATGCCAAAAAATTCATACAAAAACCATTCCCTCAGAGCCCGACTCCGATGCCCATTCCTAAAAAGTTTCGCATGCTCGAACCCAAATACAACGGGACAACCGACCCTAATGAGCATATTACCTCATACACTTGCGGGATTAAAGGAAACGACCTAAATGATGATGAGATCGAATCAGTATTGTTGAAAAAATTTGGGGAAACTTTGTCGAAAGGAGTTATGATTTGGTACCAGAACTTGCCCTCGAACTCTATCGATTCGTTTGCTATGTTAGTAGACGCCTTCGTGAAAGCGCATGCCGGAGGCATAAAGGTGGCGACGAGGAAATCAAACATTTTGTAAGATAAGACAAAGTAACGATGAGATGTTAAGGGAGTTCGTGTTCGGTTTCAGATGGAGCGAATGGAATTACCACCGGTCTCGGATGACTGGGCGGTGAAATCAGGTGCCCCCGATTTTGTGGGCTCGAAGGCTCATGTCGAGGAACAGACTCACTATGGACCGAGTTCAAACCTGAGGACGAAGCACGAGGCTCGAAGAACTAAGTATTCGAGGAACATCGGAGCCTAATATGATCAACTTCGAGATAATGTTGTTATGGATTTGTAACAGCATGAGCTAGATTCCTGCCACGTCCCTAAGATCGTGGCGTAAATCCCGGAATAGATTTGTACGAATCCGTACTAAGCGGTTAGACAGCTGTCCCAATTAAGAATCTTTACTAAAAATAGAAATGTACCTTATTTAGGTTTCCCCTATTATATAAAGGGGACCTCAATCATTTGTAAGGATTATCAATCATTGGCATAGAATATACTCTCTTACACTTTCGCTCATTGTTCATCAGAATTGTCCTTTAGCTTTATTATTCTTGCTTTACTGTTCTCGATTCACCTCGAGGTCACTTTGGCTCAAGGTCGAGACTGGCCTACATTGTTTGGTTTTACTTATTTCTTTCATGTATACTTCAGATTTCTTGGTTATTAATTAGTATTGAACTAAATCGCGTATCTTTAAAACCATAAATCACGTTTAATTGTAACTCGTATTTTCGAGGTAAACATGTATCACACTGTGTATTATTTGTGTATTATATTTGCGTTAAATGTATATCACATGTATATCCATGTATACATGTGTGTGAGATACATCTGGATATACATGTGTGTGAGATACATGCGTGATACATGTTTGATACATGTGTCGCAGATGAATTTTCGAACTCGACTTTAACTACGAATTTCGATAACAAATCACCTCCAATATTCCTCAAATTTGTTATATTGACTCATCTATGTATTTCAATGAATTTCAACCATACCCATTGAAAAAGGGTCCCTTTTTGCTTATATTTTTGAAAATGTGTGTGTGTGTGTGTGTGTGTGTGCATTGTATTTCATCATCTTTTTTGCTACCTCATCCATGAAATTTCCTTCCGTCTTCCATCTAGTGTTGTTGATCACGCTTAAAAATATGGAAGAAGATTTTTGCGTGTGATTCTTGGAGAGAAAGAATCCTTATTTATTTGAATTTTCAACTTTTGTATGTGCTTGGCTAGTTTTGGTAAATTTTTGATTAATGGTTAGAGGTTAGTAAGTTATGACTTATTGAGACATTTCCGTAAGATTTCCATAAAAAGAATACCTTTCAACATGAATGGCAAGTTTTTATATAATGGTTGTAAGATAAATTAGGGAGAAATTTAAAAATAGCCAGATTTACAACTGGTCGTTCAAAAATAGTCCAGTTTCAAAAGTAATCGAATTTTAGCCACTTTTCATGTAAAGATAAATCTGAGCGAAAACACTGTTCAAAACCAGGAAAATACGCCAGTATATTATACTAGAGTTCCAGCATAAGTATGCTTGAACTCCAGCATATTATACTGGAGTTTCAGGATAAGTATGTTGGTACTCCAGCATAATATGATGGGGTTCCAGCATAAGTACACTAGAACTCCAGCATAATATACTGGAGTTCCAGCAAGTATAATTGTCCAGTATAATATACTGGAGTTTGGAGCACCGATGCTCCAGTCTGCAGTATATTATACTGGAGTCAGCAAAGTATACCGGTTCAGCATAATATGCTGAGTTCATAAACAGGTGCACCGAACTCCAGTATATTATGCTGGACCGGTCTCTGTTGCAGCAAAATAGTGGCTATTTTTTATTGACTTCGTAAACGTTGGCTATTTTTGGATGACCAGTCCGAAAACTGGCTATACCGTGCTATTTTTACGATAAATTAGGTTACGAGAGTGCATTTTGAGTCTTTAATGTTCAACAAACCCCACAAAGCGAATATGGCAGAGATGCGGATGAAATATGATGTCCGGTAATGCAATTAGACCAGGTTAGCAATGACCACATTAAGAAAAAGGTGCAAGCATCACACAAAAAGAATTAAAATGAAAAAAAAAAAAATAAGATCGCTTGAGATGGTTTGATCATGTCTTACGTCAACCTACAGATGCACTAGTACGTGGGTGCAAAACCTTGGCTGGCAAAGTTGTTTAGAAAAAATGAGATAAACCTAAAATCACACAGGAGAAAGTTATGTAGAAAGACCTACAATTTCTTGAAATTCACGTAGAGTTAGCAAAAAATTGGATGCAATAGAAAAAAAATGTCTTCATATACAATGCCATCTAGTTTATGTTTAATTTAGATCCTATGTTTTTTAGCAGTCATTTAGTTTTCCAGTCGTATATATAGATTATACATTGATTATATACGGTTATACGCATACTGTATATAAATTATACATATATTTTACATCGATCGACTTGAGTAGACAACGACTATTTGGGTTAATTCTTCCACTATATCCCCAAGTTGCATTGCGATGGCCAATGCACTGGTTTAGTGTTTGGATAGCAAGGCAAGTTTTGGCATATATCATTAATCAAACAACTACTAAAAGTCAAGAACAGATTAATCCAACATCCCACTACGCACCTCCCAATTTCGCTGGCCCAAACAAGATCGATCCAAATCCTTAGAATAAGGGAACAAATTAAACATGTCTACCTCAAATCTGAACCAAATATTCCTTTTAGCAGACAAGATCTGGAATTTAATAAAAGATCGTATCTGTATCATATAAAATTTGAATCCCCATATTTAATTCCAACCATCCTGATCCTGTTAATGAATTAATAGTCTATTGTCATGTCTCTATAATATTGTATTGTACTGTACTATATCATTTTGATGTATATAATATTTAAATATATTGTATTATTTATCGTCGTTTCGTGAAATAAGGTACGAGGTGTTATAAAAAGATAGGGTAAACGACAAAATATGATTATTTAATAATAAAGAAGGGCAAAATGAGCGACAAAAATAAGGTAACGACACGACCGCACCAAGTCGATCGTTCCGTAAAGTGACAGTTTTCATTGTTACTTAACGACGAATTTAACAATACGATATAATAAAATTTAAGTAACAATCGAAACAAATACCATATTTAAAGTAACAATACGATGCAATACAACAGGTAATAACCATCCAAACAAGCTGTTAGTAAGGTAACTCATTTCAACAATTAACAGGAACATTAGTAAACCTTGTGTGAATAAAAAAGTATCAGTATGTGGCCAAAAATTGACAAGCCAAGAAAAAACTCATAAGCAAGGGGCACAATTGGCTTGTTTACAGAGGCCCCCGGGGGGCAGGGGGTTCTTGAGGAACCCCAGAAAGTGTAAAAAAAAAAAAAAAAAAAAAAAAAAAAAGCAACATAAGTCAATATAGTGTTACAAATCTTGGTTGCTCATTTTGAGTCGTCTTGTTGGTGAAGCTAGTGATGTTGGTGAGGATGGCATGGAGGAACCAGTGGAATGTGTCGATGAATCAGTAGAAAGAGACGATGAAAGTGTTTTCGGGGAGGATTGAGAGGAAGAAGATCGGGATGAAAGAGTTGATGAAAGGTCAATTGAAGGCGATGGTGATGGTGATGGTGATGGTGAAGGCGAGAGAGTAGGCGAATTATCACAAGATGTTTCTGGCAACTTTCTTTTGTTCATTGCTTTGGCTTCTGTTCTAAACCGATCCTCGCTGAACATGTAATCCTTTAATCGTTTTACATCCGACAGTTTCACTGGCTTCAATAGAAAATCTTCAGCACCTTCTTCCAAACATCTGTTGTAACATTAAAATTAGTTCAGATCAAGAAAACGTCTAGTAAATGAAATCAATAATGACAATATCAATTTCATGAGAAGTGATTCTTCTTTTAAGACAAGTTACAAAGAAAACCAGACTTCTCATATTTATGTCTCATATAAGAATTCCTTTCACATGTTCAATGTTGAGGCCAGTAGAAAGGAGAATAAGAAAGGAGACTGAAGCTTTATGCATTGACCAAAATTATAAACATTCATATTTCAACCTTCACAATGATTCGTGGTTTCCTCTTAAGATCAGTGTTGTTAAAAGCGAAAAGCGCTCCAGGTCTATTGGAGCTTTAAGTGCAAAGCGCAATTAAGATGTGGGCTTTAGTAAAAAAAGGCGCAATTAAGATGTCGATTATAATTGTTGTTTAGTACTGCCCAATTCAAGATAGAATTTATGGGCAATAAGGCACACGCCTTAATGCCTTGACAACACTATAGCGCAGCTCAAGCGATGCGAAGTGAGCTGCCTGAGCTTTTCTAAGCTTCAGCGCTTAAGAGCGCCTTAAACGAGCATTTGACAACACTGCTTAAGATTAGTATAAACAACTATGATTAATGATTCTTTATCACGAAACCAACAGCTAGAAGCTCTGGATATGATTTTGTAAAGCATGGATCCCATCACTTTTGTTTTGGTATATAATAAACTAAGGAAGAAGTGGTTGTCTATTCATTGCTTTTAGTCAAAAAAACCATTTTATTACAATTCCTTTAATAAAATGTTCACAGCACATGAATAACGATAAGTAGAGATAACATACTTTCTTAACTTAGTTGGATTTATTGCAGCTGCTTTAATTAAACAACCAGCGAAATCTTCACAGCACATGAATAAGGATACCTAGAGATATGATACTTAATTTAGCTGGGAGAGAGCTTTATGATAATACTAATTTGGTGTAGCGTGTGCCGAATTTCCACATCATTGAACTCATGTTCTTCCTTAATAAAAACATGTTGGTTGTGCGAACAAAGTCTCATATTGGTAGCTGAAAAGATTGGGAGCCTACATATAAGGTGTAGGGATCTCTTATTTGTATGAGGGCTTTTGGAAAAACCGTGCAGACAATATCACAACATGTTAAGAGTGTATTTGGGCTAGTTTAGCTCAACAGAACAAATTGAATAAATCTCCTTTTCATATTAATGAGAAAAAAATAAATCTCTCAAACACATCAAATAGAATTATAGCCTGTTTGGCCAAGCTTCTTTTTGGCCAAAAGTGTTTTTTTTTTTTTTTTTTTTTTTTGCCAAAAGCACTTTTGGCCAAAAATTGAGGTGTTTGGCCAAGCTTTTGGAAGGAAAAAAAGTGCTTTTGAGGAGAAGCAGAAGCAGTTTTGGAGAAGCAGAAAAAAAGTAGCTTCTCTCCAAAAGCACTTTTTTGAGAAGCACTTTTGAGAAAAATACACTTAGAAGCAGTTTTTTAAAGCTTGGCCAAATACTAATTGCTGCTCAGAAGTGCTTTTCAAACTAATTAGCCAAACACAAACTGCTTCTCACTAAAAGTACTTTTGAGAAAAGCATTTTTGAAGAAAAGCATTTCTCAAGATAAGCTGATTTTTGCAGCTTGGCCAAACTGGCTATTAGTACTGCTTGATGATGAAATACAAGTTAGAAATTGGATTCTGGAATTCCTAGTCAATCCTAATACTTCTAATACCTTATCATTTCTAAGCTTTATCTTATCAAAGTTATTTTTGTTCTTTTACAGTAATTTGCAAATACCTAATATTTCCATATCCCTTATTCATATATTCACCCAACAATAAAATACAGAGGGAGGCACAAGAAATTTATAAACAAGCTAATGAAAGTACCTGTCAATTCGTGTCAAAACATTTTCAGATGACATAATCACAACTGGTATTTCCCTAAACGATGAATCCTGTTCAAACAAACAAATTTGCAAAAAAATTAGAAAAATTCTTACAAATTAGAGGAAAGACAAAGTTGTATGAAAAAGAACCTTAATCTTTTTTAGCAACTCGTAGCCAGTCATTCCAGGCATACAATAATCAGTAATTATCAGATCCACCTTCAAACCCTAATATCAACCATAGAAAACCAGTCAATAACAACAAACACAAAATCAAAACCTTCAATTTTTCTTTTCTAAACCAGAAATTCCCGAAGATATATATAGTGAGCCCGCCTCTCTACCCTTTTCTACTTAAATACTAGACTTTTGTCGCATACGTCTAATCCACAACACAGAACCAAAGCTGAAGGGCAATTCTTCATTTTTTTCAAATTTTGCATAAAAATAACTTCAAGTATATGACTATAGTTGCTTACATCCAACCCAACATTATAAGTTTCCTCTTCATCCAATCCAAGAAATTGCAAAGCTCTCCTCCCACTGTCCACTGTGGTTACTGCACAATTGAAACACACTCTAATTTTATTCATATTGATAAAAACACAACAACTGAATTGGGGGTTTGGATTTTCATTCAACCTCTGCATGATGTGATTTTCAGTAGTCGTTCAATAACTTTCCGATCGACGAGACTATCATCGACAGCAAGAACATGAACTTCATCAGAATAAAAAGACGGGCACAAATTATCAAACTCCTCCATCTTCTCCGCCCTCCACCGCCGCGAAAATACTCCATTCCTCGCCATGACTAAAATATACTTCGGAAAAAGTGAAAAACAGAATTTCTAGGGAGAAGAAGTGAGAAAACAGTGCTGTTTGTTCATATTATACAAAAGGGGTGTTGGAATGTTAGTAAAATGTCTTCTTCATATACGAATTACGATATCCATCACTGTCTTTTACTTTCTCTATATATATATATATATATATAATATATACGAAAAAGAACAGAGCATTCAAAATCAAATCTGGTGAAATCTACTTTTTAATGTTAAGAGGGCAATATCGCTGAGATTCTCAAATCCACTTTGGTGGTCAAAAATCAAAATGATCTTGCGGTATCCTCGCGAGTTATTGACAACCTCATTTCGCGAGACGAGCCTGGAGATATTGTGGCTTATATTTGAAAATCGCGCCGTTAAATCAGAAGAGGGAAAATATATACTTCCTCTCTTTTAATTTATAGATAAAATTTAAAAATATATGTTTTTGAATATACCATAATATTTGTGTAGCTATAAAAATTTTAAAATTTGTGATCCTAAATACGTCATAATATTTGTGTTGATTAAAAGTTTCTCATCATAGTAAAATAGGAAGCAAAATAAATTATTTTCAAAATATATAAATGTTTAATTCTTTTTGAAATTGTCATATAAACTGAAACAGATGTACTAATACAATAAATTAAAGATGTAATATGATCCAGACAATTAGCTCTCTGTATTATGAAAAGTTTGCACAATATTACTCTCTCTTTTTCAATTTATGTGAACCTATTTCTCTTTTGGTCCGTTCCAAAAAGAATGACCTCTTTCTAAAATTAAAAAAAATTTAGCTTAAACTTCAAATTCTAAATAAGTGTTTAGTTTTTAAAAAGACGACACATATTTATAACTATGTACAGGGGTGGCTCAACAACATTTGTGGCCTAAAGTCAAAATCTAATTTGAGGCCTTAAACTTAAACAAAAAAATTTAAGGTATTTTTTTATTTGAAGCCTCTTTTTCTTGATTTTTGAGATGTAAAGCTATTAATAATTTTTTATATTAATTTTTTAATAATTCTTTTCTAACTCGTATGAGGATGAGGCTAGTCTGATAGAATTTTATCTTAGACTGCTAGCGGTCAATGTTGTGTTCACACTACTCTTTTATTTTCATAGTGTTGAGCCTTATTTACTGGTTATTATTTTTGCTTTTCATCTATTTACTGGTTCTTATGATGTTATTATTTCTATGGTTTTTATTGATGGTATTGATATATTGTCTCTTTTCGTCTTCTTAAGCCGAGGGTCTATCGGAAATAACCTTTATACTCCCTTGGGTTAGAGGCATGGTCCGTGTACGCACTACCCTCCCAAGACCCACTTGTGACATTTTACTGGGTCGTTGTTGATTTTATAATAATCCTTTATCAATTGATAATATAGCCAAAAGTTTATCAAGAGCTCCTCCTTCAGATTCTATCAATTTTCATCTCCTCTCTCTCTCTCTCTCTCTCTCTCTCTCTCTCTCTCTCTCTCTCTCTCTCTCTCTCTCTCTCTCTCTAGATCTCTCGAGTTTTGAATGAACAAATTCATATTTTCTAGTTGACATACTGATGTTAGACTAGAAACCCATATTTTACTCATAGTTTACACTCTAATCATTGCATTTTACTTGCGATTGAGCTTAAATGATAGTGATTTGCCCTTATTATGTATTTTATGCCTTGTAGAAAATGATTCTGAGCTGTTAAGATCATTTGGAGCTAATTTGAATAAGTTGGAGCTTTGAAATCTGAGTAAAAGCCCAAAAAATTAAGCGTGGAACACGTTTGGGGGTCGGAGTCAAGTCTGGATATAAAAATGGACGAAAACAATTTATTCTGTAAAAAGTGCACGGCGGCGATGCATGGGGCGGCACGCCAGTGCTTTTGGTGTTGTTGTCTGCGGAAACTGCTCTCTGAACTTCCACTACCACACCGCATGGTGTGGCACGACGCGCGACGCACTTGTACAAATTTCTCAGAGTATTTTTCTGTTTCGGCTTGGAAAGGGCAGTTTCATCCGGGCCTGTTCCTACATGGTATAAATACAGTAAAAGTATGATTTTAGAGGACTTTTGACCCTGGAAGATTTTGGAGAGCATTGGGGGCTACAAGGCACAAGATTTCATCATATTTTCATCAATTTAATATGGGAGTTAGGATTGTAACGTTAGATTGCTATTTTCTTACTCTTTAATTATATTTGTGATGACTTTCTCCATGATTATGGAGTAGTTTACCTCAGGGTTTGATATGATTTGGTGACTTGGTTATTGTTTATGGATTTGACTAGTGTTTAGTTCTTGAGTTTATTGGAGGAGCTTTAATATTAGTTGTGATTTTATTCTTTATGGTGTTTAATCGAAAGAGGAATATCTTATTGAATACCATTGAAACATATGGCTTAGTTTATTTTGGTGATTCTTTAAAGTAATCGAGAGAGATTTTTGAGTTATCTTTAAACTAAGATTGAGAAATATTCGCGAGAAGTTTCTCTCAGATCATTCCTACCAATTGATTCTTGCAAGTTTCACCGCACTTTACATTAGTTTATTTGAAAGATTTAGATTAAATCGAGAGAGAAATCTGAATCAGAAGTGTAGATCACCTATTGAATTCGTGAGAATCGATAGAACCTCAAGAGTGAAATATAACAGTATCACATCCACGATAGCAGTCTCGCACCTATCATGTCAAAACCCTTATTTTTCGTCTTGATAATAACCTATTGCTTTACTCTCTAGTTTTCTGTGCTCAATTATTTCTTGCTTTAATTTTAGTTCATAATCACCCAAACTAAAGTGTTAATCATCTTGAATAGTGTTAAACCAGAAATTACTTGCACATTATTTAAATCCAATCCTTGTAGAGATGGTAATTTTACTATACTATTTTGGCTAGCGAGCATCCATTTCGTATTGTGTTTTGCACTCGTCACATACTTAAATTCTAACAAATATTTTAAAAAGAATATACATATAAAGTAAAAGTAACAAATATAAGACAAACAAATACTAGTGTCACGACCCGAAATTCCCACCCTCGGGACCGTGATGGCGCCTAATATTTCACTTGCTAGGCAAGTCTACGTTAGATGTAGTTATTAACCATTTTTAATAATTCAAACAAATGATAGCCAATAAGCTAAATAAATTGAAATTAAGTAGATAAATCTGATAACCGGCAATATCCAAGTACAAGTCCCCAAACTGGTGTCACGAATACACGACCGTCTAGAGTACTACAAATAATAGTCTGAATGAAATCATAACGGTCTGAATCGAAATAAACAGCTAGAGTAATGTAGAAAGGGACTTCAGGGCTGTGAACACTGTGCAGCTATACCTCAAGTCTCTGTCAAGCACCGAATCCGAGCAATCTACTGACCACCGCTGACACCGACTCCAAAATTTGCACAAGAAGTGCAGAGTGTAGTATGAGTACAACCGACCTCATGTACTCTGTAAGTGGCGAGCATAACCTCGACGAAGTAGTGACGAGGCTAAGACGAGTCACCTACAATAACCTGTACGCAGTAATAATAATAATAATAATAATAATAATAATAATAATAATAATAATAATAATAATAATAATAATAATAATAATAATAATAATAGGGAAGGAAACATGAAATGATGGTTGAGAGAAAGAATGCACGGGAGAAAAATCTATTATTGATATTCTATTAATTACAATACAATGAGCTCCATTTATACAACACATATCCTACTCCTATTCTATACGGGACTAGGACTAATTCATATTATATACATAACTATCTAACACCCCCCCCCCCCAAGCCGGTGCATACAAATCATATGTACCGAGCTTGTTACATATGTAACTAATACGAGGACCGATAAGGGACTTAGTGAAAATATCTGCAAGCTGATCATTTGACTTCACAAACTTTGTAGAAATATCTCTTGAGAGTATCTTTTCTCAAACAAAGTGACAGTCAATCTCATTGTGTTTAGTTCTTTCATGGAACACCGGATTTGATGCAAAATGAAGGGCAGTTTGATTATCACAAAACAAGTTCCATCTTGCTGATCTAACCAAATTTCAACTCATTAAGCAAATGTTTGATCCAAACTAGATCACATGTTGCCACAACCATTGCTCGATATTCTGTTTCTGAACTAGACCAAGCAACCACATTCTATTTCTTGCTCTTCCAAGATATCAAATTACCTCATACTAAAACACAATATCCAGACGTAGAACATCTATCAGAAGGTGATCCTGCCTAGTCAGCATCTGAGTACCCAACAATTTGCTCATGGCCTCAATCTTTAAACAATAATCCTTTGCCTGAAGCTTATTTTATATATCAAAAAATACGGACAAATGCATACCAATGACTATCACAGGGAGAATCCACGAACTGACTTACCACACTCATAGGAAAGGAAATGTCAGGTCTAGTAACTGTGAGGTAATTTAATTTACCAACCACCTGCCTATATCTTGCATGTTCGCTAAGCGGCTCCCTCTGTCCTGGTAGAAGTTTAGAATTTGGATCCATAAGAGTGTCAACAAGTCTACAATCTGTCATTCCTGTATCCTCAAGAATGTTTAAGACATACTTTCGTTGTCAGATTATAATACCTGAGCTAGACTGAGCGACCTCAATACCTAAAAAATACTTTAATCTGCCCAGATCCTTAGTCAGAAAGTGCTGAAAGAGATGTTGCTTCAACTTAGTAATACCATCCTAATCAGTGCCAATAATAACAATATCATCAACATAAATTATCAGATAAATACTGAGATTTGAAGCAGAATGCTGATAAAACACAGAGTGTTCAACTTCACTACGAGTCATGCCAAACTCCTGAATACATGTGCTGAACTTACCAAACTAGGCTCGAGGAGACTGCTTTAGACCATAGAAGGAACGACGCAACTGACATACAAGGCCACTAGACTCCCCCTAAGCAACAAAACCAGGTGGTTGCTCCATATAAACCTCATCCTCAAGGTCACCATGAAGAAAAGTATTCTTAATGTCTAATTGATAGAGAGGTGTAACAACAAATTTTTGCGTCGAGAAAAACAAATAATCAAGACTGGAAAATTGCGTAACAAATGTAGTATTTGATATCAATAAATAAAAGTATTACAATCTCTATGGTATTCCTCTGAT